CCTCCTCCTCCTCAGATCCCACCCTCAGCAGGCTTCATCCCTAAAATATCCTGGAAGTTTCCAACCTGGAGTTGGCAACCCTATGTCCTGGAGTTCGAACCTGGAGTTGGCAACCATCAGCCAACGTTTATCTGCCTGTCTGTCTTTACAACCCCCCCCCCCACACACACAGCCTCTGCCTAGGGATCAGCTGACATCATTCTCCTCTCCCAACTGAAAATTCCAACTGCCTTGCGGGGGGGGGTGAGTTTGAGGTGTGGAATGGAGTGTAGTCCAATCAGCTTCCATATGTAAATGACCTTGGAAACACACACACACACACAGCCTCTGCCTAGGGAGCAGCTGACATCATTCTCCTCTCCCAACTGAAAATTCCAACTGCCTTGGGGGGGTGAGTTTGAGGTGTGGAATGGAGTGTAGTCCAATCAGCTTCCATATGTAAATGACCTTGGAACGCTGGCCGGGACTGCACAAAGCAGCCAATGAACCCAGCCAGTGTCTTCCGAGTGGCAGTTTTTTCGGCCTAACACTAAAGGGGCCAATTTTAGAATTCTGGCACCCAAAACTCTTTTATAATAAGGGAGAGATGTTTTTAAAATGCAGTTTTAATGTTTATGTATTGGGCATTGGCCCCATCTGTACGCCGCCCTGAGCCCGTTCGCGGGGAGGGCAGGTTATAAATAAATAAATAAATAATCTGTGTGCTACTGTTTGACTATAGGCAGCTTAGAAAACGGAGCTGTTAGTGTTATATTAATTTATAGTAATCCCGTGTACCTTTTACCCTTAGAAATAAAGGTTTTTAAAAGCAAAGAAATCTCTTCTTTCCAATAGAGCAAGATCCATTGATAGTCTGAGTATTAAACACTTTTGACTATTTTACAACACAAAGTTCCTTTTCTTAGATACATCAGGGGTACCTAATCTTGGGCTGTGAACACACCCAGTAAATAATGCACTTTCAATCCGCTTTCCAACTGGATTTTACTTTGTGAAATGACAAGATCCAAATCCAGTTGGAAAGTGCACTGAAAGTGGATCGAAAGTACATTATTTAGTGAGTGTGACTGCAGTCTCGTTGAGCCTGTGGGCATTTCGGGGATTTTAGAGACAGGGAGGGGACATTGTCCCAAAATGGCTGTCTTTGGGAGCTTGGGCCAATTGCAAAACATTCAGAAGTTTCAGCACAACTTACAATGGAGGTGGCTTTTTTTTCATCGGTGCTTCTCACAGACAGATACCTTCTGGGCCCCTTTGACAGTACCTCCTTCTCTACTGTGGGGGAGGAAGGCCGGGATGGGCTCTTAGAATGTGGGAAGAAGCAAATGGGCAATTTGCCCCCGGCACCACGTGGGCAATCTCTGCAGTGAACTCTAATGTCCCGCCTGGTGAAAACTTAACCTACACTGGATCAAAGAAATGGTGAAACTGTTGTGGGACAGGAGGTCCCGAGCAACTCAACTGCCAAGAGGTCACAAGCTGTGGTGGTCAGTTGCCACTTGGTCTACCTCTGTATCCAGTCACATTTTCTCTGATTTACAAATGACTCCACGTCAGCAACAGCTAAACAGAACACAAGCCTAAATCAGATATTCAGCTGCAGATTCTGTGGATGGGCTCCAATACAACTCTATCGGTCTTCAAGCAGCAGCAGGCTTCAGCTAGCCACATAGGGCTGCCACTTGCCAGCTCCAGGTTGGGAAATATGTGGAGGTTTTAGGGGCGGAGACTGAGGAGGGTGGGGTTTGGGAAAGAGAAGGACTTCAAGGGGGTACAATGCCAGAGAGTCCACCCTCCAACGTGGCCACTTTCTCCGGGTGAACCAATATCTGACCCCTGGAGAGCAGTTGTAATCCCAGGAGATGTCCAGCTCCCACCTGGAAGCTGGCAACCCTAACTAAGCTCCACTTCCCTGATCTCTGTCAAATGGACTGCTTACCAAGATGCAGATTTCTTTTTTTTTTTTTTACTGAACAACTTTAGGTTTGTAAAAATTATACCTGGAAGACCAGGATCAAAAACTAAAACTCGGACCAAAAGAGACCACCGCAGAAGGCAGATCATTTGTTCCCAAAGGCACAGTTGAAGGGTAAACACAAACAGGGATGTGGCCAAAGGAAAATTCTGCAGAAGGGAATTCTGTCACTCAAAAACCCAAACTCATCACTCCTCACCCCCAGAAGAACCTACATTCAGCAGAGGCCAATCTCACTTCCACAACAAATAACCAGAAACAAAGCAGAACCTGGTTTGAGAAGCTGTAAGACAGAACCTCTGTCCCTGACTGTGTTTGCCCAGGCCAATTTGAGAAAACACACAAAAGCAGTCCTGTAGAGTTGGAAACCAAAAAATTAATTTATTAATTAATAAGGAAGAATACAGATTCAAGGGTTTTGGAACCCTGAATACCCAACAGATTCTTCAAGTGTTACAATGGGTGAAATAGCATTTTATACTTCCCATTACATCAGAGAAATAAAACAGAATTCTTGGTTCCATCAGACATTGTCAAATTTCATCACCTATTTCCCATTGGGTTAAGACCTGGGGGGATGGTTGTTCCCAGGCAGAGTTCTTCTTTTCCTAACAGAACAATACAGTTTTCTTTCGGAAGCTATGAAGCTGCATGTTGTTTCTAATATGGTTACAGAGTGCTTACTGTTCTTCATTCTGGCTAGGTTAACCGACATCAGAAACATGTGCAGTTGTAGCTGGCCAGAGCAAGCAAGGTCATGGGTAGCATAACTGTGTATCAGCATTTCAGCCTTCTTCCCAGCATGCATTCAAACAACAGTCACAAATGAACCAAAGTTAATACCTGAATACATCCATGATGTTAGAATCATATGTATTATGGAAGTGCTAAGTATGCCTACTAAGTTAAACCTGTTAGGCAGTGGCAGAGTACAAAGTGGTTCATGAAATGTGCGTACAACAAAGCTGAGGTTTCAATCCAGACTGCTGTGTGATGAGATTCTCCAAGAGATAACTGAAAACCAAAAGCGTTAAAGGCCTCAACAAGCCAAACCAGAACATTCTAATTGGGCCCATTTTTTGCCTTCTATTTTGGTCAGATGGTGACTTCTCCCCCATCCCCACCTCCAGGAAAGACTCACCAGTATGGAGTAAACGAGGGCTGCAATTCCCAGAGGCAGGAAACAAAACAGCATAGTGCAGATGGAATATGCCAGGTAATCCGGTTCATGGGTGGGTTGTACAGGGATGACAAAGGTGGTGTGCACTGGAAATTGGACGACAGACCCTTGGCCGGGCACTGCACCATATGGGGCATAATAAAGCTGGTACTGAGTTTGCATGGTGGGGTTTGCTAGCCCATCAGCAGGAGGTGGTTGTTGATTGTAGGGCTGTTTGTCAGAGTAGGGTGGCAGGTTCTGGGGGAAATGTGCACCTTCTTGGTAGTTCAGGTGCTGCATAGTGAAAAGGTCTCCTTCTCAGCTCTGCAGGGGGATTCTCTGTTCTCACTGTCCTCCGTGAGTATTCCTTCCTCTGCTGGAGTTGCGACTTCAATACAGTTCTCCCTTACCCCTCACCTTCTTCCTGTTACTCCCTGCCGAACGCTCTGTTACCTTCTCCTGGCTGCAGTTTGCTCTTCTTCGATCTGCTCTCCTCCTCTGCTTACTACCCTCTTCTGTAGCCCTCTGGAGACTGTATGGAGAAACCTCCCTGTGCTTGCAATAAGGAAGAGCCAGGAAGTGGCTGGGGGAGGCATTGTGCAATGAATCCCCCCCCCCACACACACAGATTGACGAAAGGTACAAGAGTCCTGGGGGAAAGGATGAGATCGGATGAGAAAAGGAAGTTCTGCTTTTTGCATTCTTGCTATAGGACACTCTACCCTATTTCACAACACATGAGGTTTTTTATCTTGCTTATGCAGAAGTGTACCATTGGGAAAGACCAAAAGTACTTTTTCCTGCCACAGATATTATTTCCTGTTCCACCGGCCAAAGTAGAGCCACGCTCTCACCCTAACGTACAGAATTAACGGAGCATTGTGCAGCCAGAAAGCAGGCACACTGCAGAGAAATGGGACTCAGCAGAAAAGCCTCTGCTTGGCATACAGAAGGTCACAGGTTCAATCCTCAGCATCTCCAGTTAAAAGGAATGGCCTGGAAGTGATGTAAAAGACCTCAGCCTGAAACCCTGGAGAGCCGCTGCCAGTCTGAGTAGACAATACTGACTCTGATGGCAGGGGTCTGATTCACTATGAGGCAACTTCATGTGTGCCTTGGCTTCAGGCGACTAAGGGAAGAAGGAAAGCAAAATACAGGATTCCGGGATGTGTCAGGCAATGTTATACACTGTCATTCCACTTTGCCATCATCTGTTGGGATATTTCTTAGACATTTAGTGTATTTTCAGTGTCCTCAGGTAGAACAACGATAATGCTCATCCAGTGGCGCTGAATTTGGTCCTGCATGAATTTGTACCTAAAAGTCGTTATTGATAACTGGATTTCACAGGGAAAGTTTAAGCCAGCTGTTCTAGCCAAATGGCGTTCCTGTCAATTTTCAGCTGGTCCCATCCATTGCACTTGATGGTCTCTAATTTCCTAAGAAACATTCTTCTCAATATTTAGTTTGCCCCAGGTTAGCCTGATCGTGTCAGATCTTGGAAGCTGAGCAGGGTTGGTCCTGGTTTGTATTTGGATGGGAGACCCCCAAGGAAGTCTAGAGTCTGCAGAGGAAGGCAATGGCAAACAACCTCTGTTACTTTCTTGCCTTGAAACGCCTACAGCAGTGGCGTTGAACCCATTTGTTACCAGATATGACATAAATGCCACATTGTCGGGCTGGGACGTGCATGCCATAAAATGTAACAAATATAAACTTTATAAAGGGTGACATGGGAAGACATTTCCAGTGGGACCATTTGATGGCTTGACAGTGTCTTATGTTATTAACTGGGTTTGCAGACTAGATGGGCACCAGCTCCAGTGTTGCTAATGCTCAAACAAACAAACAAAACCATATGATCCATTCCCTTAAAACAGCGGTTCTCAACCTGTAGGTTGCGACCCCTTTGGGGGTCGAATGACCCTTTCACAAGGGTCGCCTAAGACCATTGGAAAACACAGATTTTCCATGGTCTTAGGATAGGGCTCCCAAGTCTCACCAAATGCTGCATATCAGATATTTATATTACGATTCATAACTAGCAAAATTACAGTTGTGAAGTAGCAACGAAAATAATTTTATGGTTGGGGGTCACCACAACATGAGGAACTGTATTAAAGGGCCGCGGCATTAGGAAGGTTGAGAACCACTGCCTTAAAATAACAACATAAAAAGAGGCCTGCTGAGTCAGATAGGGCTGCCAAGCCGCGGCGGGGGATCTGTGCGTCTTCACAGGATCCCTGGCACGGGGGACAGCAATACGCGTTGCACCGCCGTTGCCAGGATGTGACCCTACACATCGCTCTGGCAACGGGGCTGTTTGGAGTCCCGTTGCCAGAGCGATGCATAGCGTCACATCCTGGTGACAGCGGTGCAACGCGTATCGCTGTCCCCCGCGGCAGGGATCCTGTGAAGCCGCATGGATCCCCTGCCGTGGCTTAGCAGCCCTAGGTCCATAGCCCAACAGCATGTTTCAAACAGTTAGTTAGCTCCCTTGGATGTTCTCCCATGAGAAAAGTGGGACATTTCAAAGAAATCAATATTTTGGGATCTTTAGTTCAGACACCTTTCCCTGCAGTGTGCCCAGGTGTCATTTCCTGCAGAAGCCCACAGGAGCGGAGCTCCGGCAGTAAAGAGCCCAGGGGGTGGGCACATGCAACAAGTCCCACCCCCTGCTCCCAGCAGCCCTCAGTCAGAGCAAGAAGCAGCCAGGTAAATTGCAGAGCCCCCCTGACCCCCCGGTCCAAAACAGTCCAGTGGCACCTTTAAGACCAAGTTTTATTCAGGTACAAGCTCTCCCTCCTCTGCGAGGACAGATCTGCACGTTCCCCCCCCCAATAGCTAGCAATCCAAAACAGTCCAGTGGAGCCTAAGCGATGGGTGTTGCCTTCTGACATACCTCCGGTGATCTCAGGGGGTGAGGCATATGCAAATAAGTTATGCTAATGAGTTATGTTAATGAGCTCCTGCACCTCTTTTCCTACGAAATGACCCCTGAGTGTGCCTATCTGCTCTCTGGCTGTACAATGTGAGTAGAGTGCGTCTGTATGGCATGGACTTTAAAGGGAGGGGGTAACCAATCGATGAGTAGAGGGCTCTGCCTAAGCTGGGAAGGGAGAAGGAAAATAAGATGGTATCTGTGGCAGTATCTTGCTCTTTCCCAATGGTGCTATGTAAGGACGATTACATCATGCCTTTTTGAGTATTGCACAATCTTTTTCTCTCTGCATGGTGGCAGCAGAAAGTGCTGGCAAGTCGCAGCCAACATATGGTGACCCCACAGGATTTGCAAAGCAAGAGATACCTTTGCCTGCCTCTGCCTAACAACCCACGTCTTCCTTGGTGATCTCCCATCCAAATATTAATTTGGGGCCGACCTCGCTTACCGTCCGAGATCAGGCTAGCTTGGGCCATCCAGATAGATCAAGACAGCTAGCCATATCTGAAGAAGTGAGCAGCGACTCATGAAAGCTCATACCCCACCCCTAATTTTGTTCATTTTTAAGGTGCTACTCGACTCTTCTTCTTTTCCTGGGCCCTCCGGGTTAGGGCTCTCAGTGCATGTCCTCTCTGTGCTTAGTAAGAGTGTAAAAGCCAGAACTGCTGCTCTCTGCTGGCTGGGCGGTATCTTTCGGGAGCTCTCACACCCTTTTATCTATTGGTCTCTTGGGGCTACTTCTTGCAGACTTCCTCACCCCTTCTCCGGTTCATCTGCTTTGCAAGAACAGTGAGGTTGCTTCGTCCAACTTCCTGAGAGCTACTTGAGACGGCAGTCGTCAGAGGAGCAGGGCGGATCGAAGTGGAGCTTGCAGCCAGAAGAAGATTACCGAGAGTTCAAGTGGACGTAACGGAAGAAGGCAAAGAAGGCAGACGCCGTATTGAAGCTGCACCAAGGGAAGATAAAGGAACGCCGAACAGCTGCTCAGGGAGGAGAATGGACCGTAGCAAAGAGACGTTTCTTGCCAAGCTGAGCAGAAGAGAGGAGACCAGAGCTATGGACCACCCAGACCACCAGAAGACCCAAGGCGGTGCACCTTGTGCCCAGAAACTGCCATCCCACGATATTTCTTATCAGCAGCCACTTCCCATTGGTGGGCCAGCACCCACCACCACGGGCTCTGTGGCCTTCTCTACTCTGCCGTACCAGCCTCATTATGCCCCACAGGGTGGAGTCCCCAGCCAAGGGTTCATTCTTCAACCTCCACAGCCCATCACCTGTGCATCCCACCCATGAATGGGATTACCTGGCTTATTCCACCTTCACCACAATCTGTTGTTTCCTGCCTCTGGGTGTGGTGGCTTCGATTTACTCAACAAAGGTGAGTCTTTTCATGATGTGCTACTGGTGGTGGGCATGGGGGAGATGTACTACTGTGACAGATAAGAGAGCATGATTCAAATGGGCTGGTTTTAACCTGTAAGATCTTTAATGGCATTTTTTTTTCAGTATCTCAAGGAGAATCTCCTCCCCTGGGGAGGAAGACTGAAACGTCCTTAGACTAATGCAGTGATTCAGCTCTAAGACTTTATTTAAGGTTCAGAACAAGACAATTTGCTTGGCTCACAGGCCGGCTTATATGTGCACAGAAACCCACATCCCAAACACATCCCACTCCGTGTATTGGCTATTTACAGTGGCCGAGAGTTCCATAGGCTCTCGGCCTGGAGCCTAGCCCCCCCTATTGGTGTGGTCTAGGATCAGCAGGGTCCATTGTCCTTGGAAGTGAAGCTCGACGGCTTCTGGTGACCGCGTGGAGCCCTTGCCTCGCATGCGGTTGGGACTGAGTATCTTACAAAGACAGACTGGGCTCTGGAAACCATTCCAGATGTGACCCAGTCTGCAGGGGGGGGGAGGAGAAGGAGAAAGGTGACGTTTGAACCTCTCCCGGTCCATTCTGAGACCTTTTGCCACTCCCAGGGGCCACAAGGAGAACAGAGGAGGGTAGCAGACCCCCAGAGAGCCAGGCGGGACTCGACAGCTGTATGACTTGCAACCAGCCAGCTCACACTAACTCACCTTAGAGGGAACACTGGTGAAGACTGTGTTCCCCCTTCCAACTTTCAGAGCCCTCAGCACTGAGTAGCAGAATTTTTATAAGCAGGATGTTGGCACCCACTACACAGAGGCTAATACAGTACTGGTTAAATGCGCGGACTCTAATGTGGGAGAACCGGGTTTCATTCCCCACTTGCAGCTGCTGGATGACCTTGGGCAAGCCATAGTTCTGACAGGGCTGTTCTCTCAAGGACAGTTCTGAAAAGAGCTCTCTCAGCCCCACCTACCTCACAGGGTGTCTGTTGTGGGGAAGGAAAGAGAAGGAGATTGTAAACCACTCCGAGACTCTGAGTGAAGAGCGGGGTATAAATCCAATCTCCTCCTCCTCTCCTACGTGCAGTACACAGTATCGGGTGAAGGTGACAGAGTTTGCAGTGGATCCTGCTTGTGTTGGGGGGGCAGGAGGAATGGAAGGAGGGACCAAAAGCAGCAGTTCTGATAGCTAGCAGACACAAATCTACGTCATATACCTGGAAAAGGGTGTCCAGGCAGGTTTAGGCGGTTAGCTGGTTTTTGCATACTTTCTATTTGTTCACGTTATTTATAATTTGTCTTTCTCACTTGGACTCAAGGCAGACTACACAGAAGAGAAGCCATGTTGGATCAGGCCAGTGGTCCATCTAGTCCAACACTCTGGGTGCGTTCAGACGGGGGCTTTACAATGGAACAGGTGCTGGTTCCAACCGGTGTACTTACCGGCGTTCACACAGCGAACATCTGCCTCCCGTCCCTAACTGTTGTAAAGCCCTTTACACCGTTGCACTCTACCACTAGGTCCCCAAGCCATTTTTTTTAAAAGGACGGCAATATGCGCTTGGGCGAAGCTTCGCCCTGCCGTTTGTTTTAAAAAAAGGGGGGGGCTTACTGTAGCGTTTCGGAGGCATCCGGGACCTCAGGGAGGCTACTGTGCTCTTTAAAGTTTAAAGGTAAGTCCTTACCTTTAAAGTTTAAATGTAAGACAGGTTTTTTTGCGCATGCGCGAAGATCGCCATTCTATGGATGGCTGCCTATGCGCATGCGCAAACTAAGTTAAAAAAAACCCGACGACAAGTGTGGACGGGCGTATTGCGATGGGCTGCGCAGACAGGAGGTAAGTGTGAACGCGTTTCAGCCGGCATAAACTGCACCGGTTCCAACTGGTACAGTTTATGCCGGCTGAAATGGCACGTCTGAACGCACCCTCTGTGTCACACAGTGGCCAAAACCCAGGTGCCAGAGGGAGTCATTACAACTGAGACATTCGATAAACAGTGCAATAGGCTTAGGGCTGTAGACCAACCAGAAATCTAAAAACAGAACTGAAGCAAAGCATAATTAACCTGATAAATTAAATGATGCAAAAATTATTGCATAATCTGTAGAAAGGGTGAGGGTGCTCCGTCTAGCTCCTGACAATAGCCAAGCCACAGCATTCTGCACCAGCTGGAGTTTCCAAATTGATTTTGAGGGGAGACCAACTATACAGCACATTACAGGAGACCTGGTCTTGGTGTTACTGTGGCATGGATCCAGGTGACTCTGTCTCTTCATCTGCATAGCACTAACCTGGGCTTTTTATTAGCAGTATTATGAGCATGACACAGTGTCAGGAACCGCTGATATATGTAAGTAAGCTCTTCCAGCCTATATCTCCATACAAGAAGCACAGTGCTCTTTTATATCACCCAGAATACAGGAAAGCAACCCACTTCATAGCACTTTTGAATTTGTTTATTTGTAAGGGAAGCCTCTTTTCCCACATTCTCAAAGAAGATGGCCATGAGGAAACCCATATACTTTTCAGCTTCTTATAGCCATTTGTTACTCTCCAGTACCATTCACAGGGGCTGCGGTGACTCAAGTGGTTAAGATGTGGAACTGCAGACCTGAAAGTCGGTAGTTTGGCAGTTAGAGACCTGAGTGCTGCATGACGGAGTGAGTCTCTGGTCCCAGCTCCTGCCAACCTAGGAATTCGAAAGCAAGAAATTGCAAGTAGATAAAAAGGTACCACTTTGGTGGGAAGGTAACAGCGGTTGTGTGCCTTGCCGACTAGTCATGTCGGCCACATGACCATGGAAATGTCTTTGGACAGTGCTGGCTCTTCCGCTTGGAAACTCAGGTGAGCACCGCATCCCTAGAGTCGGATTGGCTTTCGAGCAAGGGAAACCTTTACCTTTACTACCATTCACAACCTCGTGGTTAGCATGTGTTTTGATCTTGTACATCAGATCCTAAGCTTCTTTACTTGGGAATAAGGCTAGCGATCCCCTATAAGATGTTTCCTCACTCATATGCGTGCGTGGGGATTGCAAATGGATGAGTCGTTGCCTTTTCTGCCTCGCATATTGGCCTCTGACAAGCTGTGTGGTGCATGAGAACACCCGCGAAGGAACAAAGCCGCTGCCACCACTCCAAATCCATAGTGGGGGGGGCGGGCGGGGGGACGGGACGACGACGACAGGAACTACAATTCCCAGAAGGCAGTAGACAGGCAAGGCGGAGTAATAGGATGGCTGGGGAAGTATATTTGGGTGTCGCGTCGGTTCTCCTTTTTCCTTTCTTCTGCCGTGGTGGTTTTTGTTGGCTGCGTGGGTTAAGACAAAGCTCGCTGGTACCGGTAGGTTGTGGGCTTTGTGGGGGAGGGGAGGGGAAGGGAGCTCGCATCCCGAAGTGTGGGAGACAGCATGTGTTCCACCTCTGAGAATGAAAGTGTGCAAAGTAAGGAGGGAGCTCCTGACGAGTTTTCAACCCACTTGCAAAGTTTCTGCCAGGTTTAACCATCAGCTTTTGTGAGCCGGCTCCGGCGTACCCCTGGGGATAGGACTAGAGTCGATGGCAATGGTTCTTGCATGCATCGCCTGGTCCTCTTTCCTTACTCTCTTTATGCATTAGGGGATGTCCTGCTTTAGGCAGGTTTTCCTTTGCATTTGTTCCCTGGGCGGGCGCAGGTGATCACATCACTTCCGGGGTGACGTGCATGTGGCGCGCGTGCTCTCCCACCACTGGCCGGGAGTCCCCCGCTGGCGGATACATTCCCACTTGGCAACCCTACTGATTGGTCAGCTGCAGAGCTCAGTGTTCTGAGGTTAAAAAACAACAACAGTTACAGCAGACTGCACAGAGCTAATGACAGTTGAGGAAATCAGGAATGGCCAACAACCACCTGTGAGGCGCAGTAATGCTGCTGGCCCAGCCTCTCTGATGGTTTCCAACACACTCCCCCCACCTCCTACATCTAACAGGCAGTTGTCTGTTATCAGCCGATGCTGCCATGAGCTGGGGTGTGTAACTCTCATCTGTGCTCGCTTCCCTCCCCCATGCATTCTCTAGCCTGGTGCTTATCTTGCAGGTGGCCATGGAGCTAGAGGCGCTTCGTCCATAAGCTTCCCGCTGGGAACCTAACGGTTCTGTATTAGCCCACACTTGTAGGTGTTTGCTCATTGGCCTGGGGGTGTCAGGGGGTCTCCTTTGAAGGTGATATTTCCCTGAGCCCTGCGCAGCTTTTGTCATTCCTGACACAATACGTTAATGGTGTCTCAAGTACTATCTATCTTAATAAACTGGTATTCCTGCAGACCTGTTGTTGAGTGTGATTGACTGATAACCCTGACATCTGTCAGGTGCAGCAGCAGTTACAGGGTGCTTAAAGCCATGAGGGAGCCCGCCCCAGCAGTAACGTCTTAGTGATCCTGCTGGCCCAGCCTCCACAGTGGCTTCTAATACTCCTTACCCTCCCCCTTCAACACTGGACAGGCAGCTGCCTGTCAGGTGTAAGAGAGGAGGTGGTATGCTTACAGCCACCGGGGAGGTTTGCTCAGCAGGATTGCCTTAGCTCTGCTGCTGGCCCAGCCTCTCTGATGCCTTTAAACATAATCATCGAGCCAGATACACCGACGCTACAAGGAGAAGACAACTTGGGAATGCGCCAAAGACATTTGCACATAGTACTCCTGCGGGGCACTGAGCTGTGCAGGCCAAGTACCAGCAAGATCACCCTGAGGTGCTCAGAACAACACTGTCTCCATATGAACAAAACAATCCAGGAACACAAGTAGAAAGGCCATGACTTTCATGGAAGGTGGCAGGAGTTGACGTAACAGATGACTGCTTCTTAAATGGACAGCTCTATGTTGCCTGCTCCAGAGTGAGCTCACCAAGCAGCCTGGTGATCCTAGCACTTGAGGGCAAAACCACCAATGTGGTCTACAGAGAGATCCTTCAGTAGAGAAAAAAAAGTATGTACATCTCACTTCATTTTTTACACTACAGTCTTCTCCATTAGAATTCCTACAACAATTGTTACATTTCAGACTTCACATCATCAGTATTGTAACTGGATTTACAGAACTTAAATACCATAGCGAAGCACAGGTATCAGGCTAGTAAGTTATAAAAGATGACATACCCCATTCTTCTCCCCAATGAGAACCCAAAGCAGCTTCAGTTGTTCTCCTGTCCTCCACGTTATCCTCACAACCAGGGGTTGTTTCGTAGATGCAAGGAAGCCCTGCGAAGGCCCTCCCTGGCCCCAGGCAGGCAGGGGTGGGGAGAGGCAGGGAGGAAGCAACTTACCCTCCCTCTTCTCCTGCCTCCTCCTGGCTGAATGAGGGCCGGAAGCGGGGTGGCCGGAAGCGGGGGGCGGGGCTTCATCATGTGCCCCGCCCCCCCGTACCTCACCCGGGGGAACTGCGATCCCCCGTGATCTCCCCCGAAATGACCTCTGCTCACAACAACTCTGTGAGGTAGGTAACCCAGCAACCTTCCATGTGGCAAACTGGGGATCTGAGTATTAGAAACATGACAGTTTGGTTAAAAGTTCTGTTATTCAGGCCCATAGCTAGATGATTTTCATTGGGGGTGGTTCAGTGGATGGAGGGGGACACTGGATGGAGGAGGGGCAGGGGAGAAAAAGAATGGAGGAGTGTGAGCACACGCACAGTGGAGGTAGGGGGTGTGGTGGGGAGGGGAGGGGCAGGCTGGTGCGCTGGGCGGACAGATACCTGGACAAAGATCAGGCCCCTTTGCATGTTCAGAAGCTGGGCGGAGGGTCGGTCAGAAAGATGTGGGGTGGAAACCCCCCTGCAATCCCAGCATCACCTCAAACCCCTCCCCCACTCAAGACAGGTCCTCTGAGGGGAGACCTTCCTGCTCCTTCCCTCTTCTGTCTGCTCCCCCGAACCGGGAGTCAGCTGGAGTGAAATCAAGGTCGAAGAAAGCAGCCCCCCTGTGTGCTTTGGTCCTCCTCATGCCCCTTCCCTGAAGTTGCCCAAGGCTATAATAGACGATGGGGATGGAGCCCAAGCCGCAGCCAGGCAAGGAGCTGTTGCAGAGACAGACATGGTTGTGCTCTATGGATACCAGCTCCGGGGGAGGGGGCCCGCCTCACCTCACAGGGTCCATGTGCACCTGGAGGCCACCGCCACACAGCATCAGCTGCGGAAGCTTTAGGGAGCCATTCATGGGCAACTCGCCAGTCCTGCCATGCCCAGCCCAACCCAACCACTGGCTAGTGGACAAGAGCCAAGAAGCACCCTGCAATGCTCACCCAACCCCTCTCCACCACCTTGCCCTCCCCACGCAACACTCCCATGCGACTACCACTCACCTCAGCTGGGGGTGTTACAAATTCATTAGGGGGCATTGCCCCATGGGCCCCACACTAGCTATAGCCCTGCTGTTATTACATGTTGCCTGGTATGGAGAAACTCATTAGCATAATAGGCCACACCCAACAGCAGGAACTCATTAGCATATTGGGGCACACCCCTGACAGCACAGCTCATTAGCACATTAGGCCGCACCCATGTTACCAGAAGTGTGGTTATCCAGCCACACCCACCTCGTTATTCTGTTTACCTTGTTTGTTGTCAAAACCCAGGGCCTTTTTTTGTAGCCGGAACTCCTTTGCATGTTAGGCCACACACCCCTAATGTAGCCAATCTTAATGAGTTTCTGCTCTTGGGTGTGGCCTATTATGCTAACGAGTTCCTGCTGGGCATGGCCAACTTGGGAGCCAGCCGGAACTCCGTTCCTGTGTGTTCCTGCCCAAAAATAGCCCTGGATGGAATAATGAAGAGCAGAAGCATGGTATTTACCAGTGATATCATTTGTTGCTTTGGGAAGATTTCTAGGAAAAAAGCCCCCCCCCCCCCCAGTCTCTGGAAACTGGAAAAAGCCAAAGTTTATCTCATGAGAAGCATGACTGTAAATATTTCACAGACTAGAAAATTGCTATCTCTCTCCTAATTGCTGAACTATCCCCTTATTTTGTGTGGGGATATTTTTCACATGAATAGGAATCAGTGGTGAGTACACTGCCTGGAACCTCAGCACAATGCTTTAAAGACTCAAAGGCACTCAGCGAGAACTCCTGTGATATGTCAGAAGGGCATCCTTAATGGCTACTCCTGGCTTTTGTCAAATTCATGTAGAAATCAATATATATATGCTAGAGACCGCAAAATTAATCTGGGAAGAGAGTATGAGTATGTGCATGTAAGAAAAAATTAATTTGAAGTTTTAGAACTAAAAGTTCACTTTTGGACTCAGCAAAAAAACCTGTAAAGTTACAGTTCCTAGGTGCCAGCACCTAATTCCTAGGGGGGCAACCAGGCTGCCTGCATTTTGTCTACCTTTTGTGTAAAGTACCCAGAGATACTCTCAGCAGGCATTTGTTTGCTTCTTGCAAAGCGAGGTTTCTCCCTGGCCTGCAGCTCAAGCAAAAATAGACTTTTAAATGGGTATTAGAAGTCGGCCATGCTCCAGTGACCCTTATGTTTCAGAACGTCATCTCTGTTGAAGAATAAATCCAGAACCAGCCAATCTTGTGAAGCTGGGAAAGTGAAAGGTTACTCGAGGCAGAGTGCTACATGTCTTGCACTTGACAATTCCTGCCCTTGTTTGCTTGGCTCTTGCCCTCATTGCCATGTGCTCAGTATTACTTTTCCTGAAATAGATCTTCTCTCTCTCTCTCTCTCTCTCTCTCTCTCTCTCTCTCTCTCTCTCTCTCTCTCAGCAACAATGATGCTGATGCATGAATGTACACAAGGCGCAGAACAGAGTGGGACACACATAATTTTAGTTCATCATTTTCTTTGTTCCTGAAGAGCAGGTGAATGATTATAGTTTATGTTACGGCAAAATTGGTTTACTGCTGAGGTGAACTCCTCTGCCCTCTGTTTTTGAAGTTGCAGAGTATTAACAAGTCAGAGGGAGGAGCAGAGCATTGTTTGCTGAACACTGGCCACTGCTCTGACTTCTTCACCTCTTTCATAATGCCATGTTTGCCACATTAGCAAGTTTTATGGTTTAATTCATGAACTAGAGAAAACAAGTAAGAAGAATCAATGACACTTGAATAGTAAAAAAGCTCATGTGTAGGGTTCTCTGTCTCAGCTTCAGAATATCCAGGCAACATAATTTGCACATTATGCACATTATTAGTGAAGGAGCAAAATGAACAGACTAAAGCACACTCCCTTTATGTAATTTCTGATGGATGCGTTATCTGAGCACCTGCCAAAATACCGGGGAAGGAATGTCCAACAGGGAGGTCTGTGTGTCTAACCAATTCTCACTGTCACAGAAGACAGAATTCTCACATTAACCCAACCCAGCTAATGTTCTAGTATTTGAGATGGGGGAGGGGGAGTCACAGAACAATTATTTTGGAGCCTGTTAAGCCTGATCTATCTCTTGGCAACTTTGGCAGCAGCCAGAAGACCCACACTGGACATCTGCTCTTACATGACTGACTGTGGCCAGTGTACCTTTCTTTAAAAACCAGGCAGGAGCATGCACATATGCACTCATGTACTTATACGAATATCAGCAGCTACTAAAAAAAAAACTGGCAGAAACGGATCTGCCAGTTCAGACTTCCCATCCGGCTTCAGTTCGGGACAGAAGAGTTCAGATGGCCAGAAAAGTGAAGCACTGGTATTGGTAAAGACTGGACTTTCCTCAGTGCCTGGTTACTCTGCTTCTGAAGCAGGTCAAAACTGGTGGCCATGACTGGGGCACAGAAGGCAGATGCTGTTGTCTGATCATGCTCTTTAAATCCACAAAGGTACTGCAAAGATATTGCTGCAAACTGCTCATGTGACCACAGCCTATTGCAGCAATAACACAGAGTCCTGTGGCACCCCGAAAACTAACAGTTATTGTATCATAAGAGTTCTTAGCCATGAGCTCACGGCATCACAGGCATCATACACTGAAAGAGTATGCTATGATAAATTTGTTAGCCTTTAAGGTGCCACAAGACTTATTTTGATCTTGCCCAATGTAAGAACCATTGAGTTGTAGAACTAGAATGCACCTGAGGGTCGTCTAGTCCAATTCCCTATTTTAAAGCAGGAACCTTCACACATACACATACATCACAGCCCAATACGCAAACATATGCGCATTTCCCCCTTGCCTCTCACAATATCGGCAATAGCACCAAACAACACTTTGATGGAGGAAACATAAGAACATAAGAGATGCCAATGTTGGATAAGGACAAAGGCCCATCCAGTCCAACACTCTGTCACACAGTAGCCAAAAATACCAGGTGCCATCAGGAGGTCCACCAGTGGGGCCAGGACATTAGAAGCCCTCCCACTGCTGACCCCCCCAAGCACCAAGAAGACAGAGCATCACTTGCCCCAGAGTCCCTATCTATACCTTGTGGCTAATACTTCCTTTTATCCGTTCTAACCCGACCGCTCAGCAATTTCATGGAGTGCCCACGGGTTCTTGTATTGTGAGAAAGGGAGAAAAGTACCTCTTTCTTTACCTGCTCTTTCCCATGCATAATCTTATAAACCTCGATCATGTCACCCCTCAGTCGTCTTTTCTCCAAGCTAAAGAGCCCTAAGCGCTTTAACCTTTCCTCATAGGGAAAGTGTTCCAACCCTTTTATCATTCGAGTTGCCCTTTTCTGCACTTTTTCCAAAGCTATAATATCCTTTTTAAGGTGTGGTGACCAGAATTGCACACAGTATTCCAAATGAGGTCTCACCATTGATTTATATAGGGGCATTATTATATTGGCTGATCTGTTTTCAATACCCTTCCTAATAATCCCCAGCATAACATTGGCTTTTTTTATTGCAGTCACACACTGTCTCGACATTTTCAGTGAGTTATCCACTACAACTCCAAGATCTCTCTCTTGCTCAGTCTCTGCCAGTTCAGACCCCATCAATGTGTATTTATATTTAGGATTTTTGGTTTCAATGTGCATCACCTTGCACTTGGCCACATTGAACCCCATTTGTCATGTTGATGCCCACTTGCCCATCCTTGTCAGATCCCTTTGGAGTGCCTCACAATCCTCCCTGGTTTTCACCACCCTGAACAACTTCGTATCATCCGCAAATTTAGCCACTTCACTGCTTACTCCCAACTCCAGCGTATGGACAAGACTCAGTTCAACCCCATTCATCTCTAAAATAGCAGGTCAACAGTATCACCCAGCAACCTGCTTGGACAGAACCACATATGCAAAACACCTGTGTGTCACTCATTTCTTCATCCACATAGAAACATGTGCACAGAAGCCTGCCCAAATGAGTAGATGCCACCACCTCTTTGGATTGGAAAATAGTGATCAAATGGCAGAAGATTAACAGTGCAATCCTAAATAGAGTTACACCCTTCTAAATGTGTAACTGGTGGGGGCATAGCTCAGTGGTAGAGCCATCTGCTTGCCATGCAGAAGGTCGCCAGTTCAGTCCCTGGAATCTCCGGTTTAAACAACCTCTACCTGAGAACCTGGAGAGCCACTGCCAGTCTGAGTAGATAATATTGACCCTAATGGACCCAAAGTCTGATTCAGTATAAGACAGTTTTGTGTATTTATGTGTTTAGGATGCCACTGCACATCACAAATCCTTATAACTATAATCATAGGGCTGACTGACTGACTGACTGACAAGGCAGACTAGAGACTTGAGTTCTCCCTGGTCTTGGATGGGGTTACGCTCCCCTTGAAACATCAGGTTCACAGCTGGGGAGTACTGCTTGACAAAGTGGACACCTTAGAAAATCAGCTGGCTGCTGTGCAATGCTCCCTCTAAGCTGTGTAGTCTTGTGAGCAAAAATTCTGCTTTGTGAGCTACTGGCATTTAAGGTGTGCATCAATTAGTTTGCTCTGGAGCCATCCTTCCTGAGCTCGGTGTGTGAGTGAGGCTAAAAACCTGTGAGCTAGCTCACACTAACTCAGCTTAGAGGGAACATTGCTGCTGTGGTATGGAGTGCTTTTACCCAGCTTCAGTTAGCACATCAGCTGCTCCTGTTCCTGATTCAGACTGATCTAGCCAAA